CTGCAGACTACAGACTGCAGCAGTCGAAGCTGCTGAATTTAAATTCAAACTGCGGCAACATAGTCGGATTTAAATGCCGGCCAAAACAGAACAATGCAATTATGATTCGGCTGTCAATTAAATGGCAAATTTACAGCACTTCAAGTGCAGCAATAGCGGGGAATGCCACCATGCTACCATGCTACCACTCGTACTCCGATAACCGAATGGAATAAGCATAAAATAAAATCATATAAAATATCAATAAAGCACACAAATTTATTGCAGAAACATACACGGAAAAGCGAGCAGTTGAGCAGTTGAGCATCCTGCAGAGGAGCCTCCGACTGTAGACTCGCTTTTTCCGTTTCTCGTTTGTTTATACCCTTGCGAATTTTAACTTATTTAGATTTGAGCATATATAGTATTTATTTTAAAACTGAAATATTTTAATACAATATTCTTACTTTATTAATTTATTGGTTGCTACATTAATATTTAAATGTATGCTTGAAAGACAGATGCTTTAAAGTTAAACTATTAAGCTTGTGAAAACTCTTAGCTTTATTTTTATTGGCAAAATCTAAAAGAAATAAAACAATTTAGCTTGCTCTATTTTTGTTACATTTAAATATATACAACTTGTTTATTTTATATACATATCTGATAAATATTAAAAGTGGATTAAACTAGTAAGCATTACAATATGATACAAGAAAGTTTCATTCTTCCTGTCTAAATTGGCTTATATTTCGAAAATGATTTTGATTTCAATCCATTGATGAGGGTATAACCCGCTTCGCTTCTTGAGTCTGGCTTACTTGCGTTGGAGTGTGTGAGTGTTGGAAAATGCTCGTAAATAAAATACTCAGCCCCCGTTCCTGCCCCCCTGTTGGCTTTCCGCCCCTTATTTTCCCACCGCCCCCAATTTTCTTCTGGTTGGGCCAGCGGCAAAACGATGACGAGCTGACGATGTCGTTGTAAATACCATAAAGAAAATCGTTGCCGACGTGCGGTGTCCGTGTCCGTGTGTCCTGTGAGTCCTGCGACTGTGTGTGTGTGTGTGTGTGTGAGTGTGCTGCTGATGTCTGGAAGGAGATGGCCAGAAAGGAGCAACAGCAACCAGCCAGCCAGCCAGCAGGCAGGAAGCCTGCGAAATGTTATTTATTGGAATTGTGTAATAAATGTGACCGAAAGTGCACTCGACGTAAACGAAATGTTGCATGCCACATCCCCAGTACCTCAAGGTCCATTCGTCGTGGGGCTTCCATTCCAGGTCGGGTGTCAGGACACTCCGTTGCATTAGGAGCCGCCAAATGATGCAAATGAAGGTGGACCAGCAACCAGAACATATGCGCATCCAAATGACCACTATCCATTATCCTCCTGCACGTTCATGGCTCGTATGACAGGACCAGAGATCTTCATTATCCTATCGTCTGCATTGCTGTTCGCCTCAAACTCCAAATGCTTTCCACAAAAATGTCATTTTCTCTTAGTATAATAAACCATATATGCCAACAAAATACTAAAAAACAAAAATGACAATTATTCAGATCGTTAAAAATCACATTGTTTCGATAAACCAAATAACAAGTTTTACCAGAATATGTCTTATAACATTGGAACCTGAATAAAAAGCAACAATGTTTTTAGTGTAATTATTTGTAAAGGAAATCAGAGAAAGATTTTAATATAACAAATACTATATAAGATGGAGAATCAATATCTTTATCACTTATTTTCTTTTGTTATTAAAGTAATATTTATTGCTCACTTTAATAGTGCTTTAAGTTTGTAAAGGAAGTAGGTTTCACTTCCCTTTCGGTGCTCCATCCACTTAATTCGCTGAAAATAAAATACTACCCCCATCAATCAATCAGAACGTGCTGATGTAAGCAAATAATCCAGTACAAAATTGAGACGTCACGCGTGATTACCGAACGTAGTGGCAGGACATTTCGAGGACCTGCCACAGGCAGTGTGTGCGACCATTACGTATGATCGGCCGGACAGATTGGGAGCTATGCACGCTTGTGGCTACGTGATCGCCCAGTTAGGGGGCGGAATATAATAGAGGACTCCACGCGACTCCTCGCAATTTGTGTCGGGTCGGGGCATTTGCATCTGCATATATATCCACATATCCAAAAACCACAAAACACTCGGCAAAAGCAGTCTAGTCGAGCTGGCCAGAAAGCCCACCCACACCCACTGCTGGTCACTTGGCTAGGTTTTAGCTGAATATGGATATTTATAAAAATACTTATCTAAATCAATGAGAAAAGTTGTATTTCTAATATTTTTGCTATATTTTAAGCAAGGAAAAATAATACTTTCCTTTACATAATAAAATTGCTTTTATTTGTATCGAAACAAATTTTTATAAGACATCTTAAACGGAAGCATTTTCCTTACAAGTTTTTTGGTGCTGCGAAATTTAGCAAATAAAAAATGTAAGAAAATATGTTAAATTATTTAAATGCAAAATTATATATTACAAAACATAAAAATAGCTTCAATGAGTTACTCTCTGTAACTTATAGATGTATTGGCAGTGGGCATTCACTTGTCCAGCTGCATTGGCAAATCTAAACGGTCCTTCAGCGCCCCTCTTCCTGATACCCCCGTTACCCCCTTTTCCGCGCTCCTGAATCCTGAATCCTGCGGCACACACACATGGCACCTTTGCTTTGTCCCGAAAATTTCCATCGATTTGATTTATATGCAAAATATTTAAATTTTATTGCCAGTTTGCATATGGGCCAGACAGACGGACAGATGGAGAGACATGGAGAGTCAGGACCCAGGAGGCTTAAGTGAGATCGATAGTTATAGTTGGGCCCACACACACACACACACACACATACACACACACACACACACGGCCACAAACGAGAAAAGTCGGAAAAACAGCTGAGGTTGTGGAGATAATTTATGCAGCTTTCGGTAATATTGAAAACGAAATTTAAATGCAAACAAGGGAAAGTGTTGGAAAAGCCAGTTTTCCTAAACCAACCAAACCCTCTCACCTGGGTTACCCCATTGTGTTTGCTTGTTTGTTTGTTTTATTTTTGTGCTTGTGTTGGGGAAAAATTCGGTTATGGCCAAAATGGAAAATGGCCAGCGATTAAAGGCCATCGTATCTCGGATATGGCTCTTCAAATGCAGCTAATGAGTGGCCTCCGTCGTCCGCTTTTCGTGTCGCCAACTTGCAACTTTCCACATTTTTCATTATGTCGCAGACAAGGCGCAAATGAAAAGGAGCTGGAAAATGGGAAATGGGAAATGGGGAAACCAGAATGGCCGGGGGGCGTGGGAGGCGTGTCAGAAATTATGTTGATTGTTTGCTCTAGCCAAGGAAATAATTAAGCAAGACATGGCAGCAACGGAGACACGGGCAAGAAACTCGAGCATATTTCGCTGGCGCCAAGTCAAAAACATATATATATATATATATATATATACCAAATATATCTGGGCTTTTGTGCACAGCGAAAAATTTATTAGTTTAAAGACACAACAAGAGCAGAAATAAATACAATTTAAGAGAATGAAGGTAAGATTTTATATTGACTTCTAAAGAGGGTAATTTATCTAATAACTGGCAATAAAATAATTATTCCAGAACATTATTAAAATTAAGCTGATTATATTATAAAATATTAATGTAAGCTGATTGGCATCATTTCGTTTAATGTTTCTTTTAGTGTACGCACTTCCCCATCAGGCTGCAAAAACAAATTCCGAAATTGTCAACAGCTTTTTGTGACTCACTGTGTGTGCGTCGGTTTTTTGTTGCTTCTCCGAGTTAATCTAATTAGTGAGCCACTTGGAGCTGCAGTTTTGATTTACATTTCGAGCTGCCACTGGAAATTAGCCAGGGAAAAACAGTCGACGAAGAATTGTGCCGCCCCCCCTCCCCTGAAATTTGGGAACCAAAAGTTTTACTAATTTCCGTACAATTCGCTCAAAATGTACGGAATAGATCGGTGGCCATCGACGCTTTGCCTTTGAATGTCGGCATTATTCCGTTTCGATTTCGGTTCATTTTATCGCATTTCATTAGCGGCAACAGCGGTTCCAATTTCCCATTTCCAATTTCCCATTTTCATTTAGTTTTGGACTGGCATTTTACAATTTCCCAAGCCCTTCATCCCCCATTTTAGTTCCCCGTCTAATCCAGCTTCCAATGGGATTTTATTTATTTATTACGTATACGTAGAATGTCGAAACGAGGCGCGTTCCTTTGTCCTCGTCGGTCCCTTTGTTTGGGCCAACTGGGCAAATATTTGGCCACCATCAGCGGGGCCACAGCTCCCTTGATAAGCGATAAGCCTCGTCTCGCCAGGGCCATGAATAAATTAGTTGGCCAGCCCCAGAAGACTTTGCAGTTGGTCAAGAAAACATCATAATTTTTTCCACCAAAAATGCGAAATACGAAAGGAGAACTATTTTGAAAATCTTGGTAGTCGTAAAAATCTAAAAAAAATTATGGGATATTTCATATTATATTATATCGTTTGTCCTTCATACTTTAAAATTCAAACAAATTGTTTTAAATTAACATTTAACATTGTACATTTAATCTTCAAAGCATTTTGGTATTACAAAATATATTTGTTATCGTTTCTTAATGTGTTTCAGAGTAAGCTTAAAGTTCTAAACAAATGTATATTGTACCCAGAAATCTCAAGCAAATATAAAGTTGTACTGAAAGTTCAATTAATAAATAAATAATTTATGAATAAATTTATTCTTAAGCATGTATAAAGATCATTATACTGGTATTCATAAATGTATTTAATATTTGGACTTATTATTGTATATGTTTTATAAATCACAATAACATAAGACAGGGCTAAGTTATTATTTAGGGAAAAATGTAGTAACCTATAACGTCTTATAGTTTTTTAAAATCCCATTTTTAAGTAGGCCATGAGAAGTGCTTCAAACCAAAATGACAGACAAGTTCTGTGCCTATTCATTCTTTCATTTAGTTATATCTTAAACTCAAACGAAGCAACAACGAAATCAAAAATTTCTCCTCAATTATTTAGCTTGTTTTGTATTTAATTATACGAAAAGTTGTTAAGCAACTAGCACATTTAGATAGGTGATACTACTTGAATCAGATCCAGAGCCACCATGAGCGTAATTGAGAAACCAGAGGAGGTGGTGGAGGCAAAGCCGGTCACCAATCGAGCCCAAATGTACACGTTCGGTGAGTTGATTCGGGCGATGGGGGACATAACCCTGCCCGGATTTGTGTGGAAGGTGATCTTCTGCCAGGAGCCAGTGCTGAGTGTCATCTACCTGTTCGTGGGTCTCTTCGCCCTCGATCTGCTGGCCAGCTATTCCCTGGTGAAGCTGGTGGGCCTGGTGGGTCTGACCATCCTGTGCCACGGCATCGCCTACGCCACCATCCGTCCGTATGTGCGATTTGCACCGTACGAGAACCTGCTGACCTGCCGCATCGATTTGACCTTGTGCCCGGAGAAGGTCGACCGGGTGGTGGGCTGCGTCACCAACTGGATCAACCGCTGGGTGGCCACGGTGCAGTTCCTCCTCTTCGGAGACCACCTCCTGGCCAGTTTCCTGGTGGGGATCGCCCTGTTGGAGCTGCACGCCATCCTTCGCTGGGTGGAGATCTCGCTGATTAAGTTTGGTAAGTGAAACAATTAACTGAATCGGTCACTTATTTTAACAATATTGACAATATCATCTAATTTTATATGTAAAGCCTACTGCATGGCATTCGTTCTGCCACGAATTTGGCGCATTTTCCGGCTTTGGCTGGAGCTGCAGCCCCCGCACAGCCACGCCCACTGGCTGATCAGCACGGCGAGCATGGGCAAGGATCTCGTCCTGGAGGCCATTGAAAAGGCAGCCCAGGAATTGGAACTGATCAGGGAGAGGATCTTGGAGCGGGAACAGCTCGAGGGCCCAGGGGATATCTCCGTGGGTTGGATAGACAAAATCATGGAATATAAAGATTCATTCGAGAAATGGATCTCTTCGCCGAAAACTGTTGTTAAGGAGAAAGCAGACAGTCTTTAAAAATTATTTTCATATCCTTGTTCACCGTTTTTCATTCAAAACAAGACACTGATGATATCCAAAAACACAACGAACCGAGTTAAACCAGCATAACTTCCCTAAAAAATAATATATATTTACACATTACACAATTATCTCTGGTTTTAACTAATTTGCAAATTATATATTTACAAATCATAAATATAAATAATTTTACCCAAAAGTTCCTTATTGTTTTATATTTCTTTCCATTAGTTAATAATTAAATAGCTTTTCTAAGTTTAACTATTAACTTGGGTTTTATATCTTAGATATAAATTGAGTGTGTGCATTTTGGTGTGAAAATTAATTAAAGCCTTGGTTTTTCCGCGCTGCTTGCGGGCAATAAAAATCGCGCCCAGAACGTGACAAACGACGGTGAAGTTAAAGGCGCCAAAGGCAAACGAGCATGCGACCCATTGATGTGGGTGTCATGTAAAGGGGGCGGTGGGCGGTGGGCGAAAGTGGGTGGCGGATGCAATGCAGCCTTGGCGGTGGTTAATCATTAAAGCCTCCTCCTCGGGCCAGTGGCTCAAGATGGTCAGATTTATTCATTAGCCGGGTGTGAGGGACTGGGAAATCACTGCGGGCCATGGGAGGCATTAAATATTTAGTGAGCTCTCGGCAGGAAGTACACGAAAATCGAAGGAGCAGGGAGAAAGGGGGGGGGACAGGGGAGAAAGGCGACAGGAAGTGGGTGAAAATTGGGCAGAGGGACAGATGAGGGGAAAGAGCGGTGGCCCTTTTCTTCTTGCAATTTGCACTCAATTGCAATTTCCGTTCGCCGCTGCCATTTGCTACGTGGCTGCCACGTGCAACCACCCCCTCTGCCCCCTACCCCCCTGCCACGCCCCTGCCTACGTGCTGAGCGGCGCAAAACGCGCAGAAATTTGTTTTGCCATTTTGTTTAGTTGTTAGTTGTTGCTGCGGCGGCCCCAACCTCCCGTCCCTCCCCCACCCCCCTCTCACCCACCAGAACCCAACTCCCCCCCCATGTTGTTTTTTTAAATATCAATATAAAACGTGACAGAATGGACTTTTGCCTCGACAAAGCTCAGGAAGTACCGCGGATGAAAGGCAGGAGCATGCACTTGGAAAAAGGATTTAGGTCTATAAAATTAACCAAGAATTATAATTATTTTTGAAAAATATATATGAATATATTTAAATTAAAAATGTTAGGAGGTTTCTAATTATGCTGACTATTAAGGCTCAATTTGAAAATTTAAAACAATCAAGAAACTTATCTGATATTTATAAAATATTGATTTCAACATAAATATATTTTAAATGTTTCTCGTCTCTTAATTTGAAATATATATATTTTGCAAAACTTTAAGAAAGGAATGGCCTCTAAAACTAATTCAAATATAATATAATTCAATTATATGTGTCTTTAAATTAAAAACTAATCCAATTTCAATAGCTTACAGTGATAACAATTTTAGCAATACCTTTCTACATTAAATATCTAGTTTAAAAATTTAATTATTTATGCAAGATATTTTAAGACTTTTTTTCGAGTGCAACGTTTAAAGCAAATCTGGGGAACAGGGAACAGAATTTCCGTAAGCGGTTTAACTGCCCGACGATGGGCAGGCATAAGTAGGCGGCGGGTGGTTTCAAAAAGGGGGCGGGTTCACGCATTATAATCCGTTTATGGACGTCACCCCCGTCCGAAATCTCTGCTGAAATCCAAGGAAACGACCCGTTCCGAAGGAGCCGTCGACTTGGCTATTCCTCACAATTGTGGAATTAGAAGGGGATGTCGGATTACCAGAAGACGGGCAACCAACTGGGCAAAGCAGGGATCAGGTGTGGCAGGATGCTTTCTGCTCTGCTTCAGGATACGCATAATTTTACCTCTTTTGTCTTACTAATTTACCGACAAATATAATATACTTACTTTACTTTTTAAAAAACCCATCGGGCATTGTACCTTAAAGACTTTAAAATATGTTTTCAAAATTGGGAAAAGGAAAATCAATTTCAATGATCAAATACGTTTTTTAAGCTAATTGTTTGAAACTATTAAAGTTTAGAATAGAAAATGCAATCCAAAAACGGACACGTTTTAATATTTTATTAAATAATTTATTATATATAGTATAAGTGTTACAATCGCAATGAAAGTATGCCTTCTCTAGCTTACAAAAACTGCATAAAGACGTGGGAAATCGGATGTTGTTGGTCCACTGAAGTTAAAGACATCATTTGGTTGCTGTTTCTGTTGCCATTGTGCAGCGGAGCACTGGTAAGATGCCCCGGGCCAGGAGAATGATGACGAGGATGATGATTCCAAAGGCATATGCGGTTCCCACTTGGATGCCATCGGGGGTCGCTTTTTCGACTCGGCCAAATGGACTCACGGTCGATGACGCCGCCTTTCAAAAGGACACCCCACTATTCCGATTTGAATGGCGAGGGAATGGCTGTGGAAAATCAGACAGAGCTTTTCCCCCGGTTTCCATGGACCTGCCATTGTGCGCATTTGTACACACACGTATATAAGGAGAAACGGGAGGCGAATTGCGGTGGTGAAAATTGCATTCAGCGAGTGTTTTATGGCCATGTTCGGCACTCCGACTGCGACTGCTTTATGAATGTATAATTTTATTATACACAAATTCTATTTACAGCGCGACACGTTGCGTGAACGGTTCATGAGGCGCAAAATGCGAGGGTCGCTTTAGAAATTTGGCAACCAATTATGACCTCATTCAACACTGACTGCTCGATTGCACCTGGCTGCCCATTTGATTGTAATTAATATTTGCATTTCAATTGCATTTGCGATGGTCGGCAGTAAAACCGGTTTTTGTGGCCAGCGGCCAAATATTTGCAACGCCACCTGCCACGCCCCCAATTATCACATATGGCGGGACATTGATTAAACATTTAACTGTCCATAAGTATTTTAATAACTATTTCGGCGCTCCGAAAACAATTTCCCAGCGGCTAATTGTGGGTGTTTAGTGGGAAAGGTTGTTGTTTGGCAGGCCCAAACCAACCGAAAATCAACCAAATGGAAACGACCAACAAGCTTGGATTGAGTTCGGGCTTACACGGTGAGAAATTAAGAATTTAGTGGCCCCTATGTCAGAGGACTTTTGATTTATTGTGTCCTAAGTCTTAAGTCAACCCGAATTATTTTTAGAAGCATGAAAATATGCATCTCCAATATATAATATTTTTTGGAATACTTTAAACTCAAGTAAAATATTTTAAATACGTTTAATCTTCAGACGACTTGTTAAATAATATAATTGTTCTTAGTTGTCGGTGCAAATGTTGAAAATAGTTTAAAAATATTTATGTGCTTTCCAGTTATCTTCCAAAAGCACAAAATAATTTATTTGGTTGTTTAGAAATAATTATAGTAATAAGTTAAAACTTTAATTTTGAAGTCTAAGAACAGGCAATGAAATATTTTATGCTATATGTGTGGTACTGCACTTGAATATTATTATTCATGTCAGATTTTCTGTAGATTTCTTAGTCACCCCAGATTTAGGATCCTTGCAACTATTTCTACCCGTGTAGGGACTCCATGGACATCTGGTTATGGCACCCGGCGATGATTGCTTCCCTCAGGGTGCTCAGCATCGACATTGACATGGTCCAGTGCGTATAAATCAACAGCTGCAGCAGGTTTTCCGGCCCAACCAGAGTTTTGTGAAGGAGGAAAGGGAAGGGAAGGGGTGAAAACGGGGACAGCAGCAGGCGGCGGGTTAAAAATCTTTTCAAGTGGTCAACGGACGCAAATCCCTGTCCCAGTATCCCAACATCCCTACATCCCGCATCCTTGTGCCTTTGCGGTTGAATTAAGACAAACAAAAGGCACTGGCAGAAAATGGGGACTGGGAAATGGAGAGCTTTGCTTAGATTACGCATACGCCGTGTTGAGCAGTGGCTCCTCGGGGGTACGGGGAAATGGGGTCGAGAAAAGAAAGTGCAACACACATGCACGGCAACAGAAGCAGAAACAGAATGTGGAGAAGGACCTGGAGATGGAGATGGAACTGGAGTGGCAGGACAAAAACGAAAAAGGGCAAACGCAAAATGTAAATGGGCTTTTCACAAAATGAATATTAAATTGCAAGTGGGGTAAAGAAAAAAGGCAACCGGGGCAAGGGGGGCAAGGGGGGATGGCTTAGCCGAGGGGTGTTAGACATGTCTGAGCCGACATTAACATGGCCGAAACCGTAACCCAAGCCGAAGCCGAAGCCGCCAATGGGTTGGCTTAGAAACTCTTTGTGGGCTTTGATTTTCGCCTGGTCTTAGGTGCGGTTTCCCTAGTCCGCATTTTCATTTTCCACCCATTTCTTTTGTGGCCGATGTGAATATGATTATCGCTGTGATTGCCAAGCTGGGAAATCTGACAGTCCAAAGGGTGATCTATTTTGCTGCCACCTCCTTTGGCATATTTATTGGAAGTTACGCAAAGGCAATGAACGGAAATGCTAAATCTTAAATAAGCTGGTCCTAAACCTTAAGTCGTATTTATTTAACCATTTTTAAGCTTTTGGACATACATTTTTTTATATTTTCAAATTAAACTTAGTTTTATAATTTGTGAATACTTATTAAGACTTGTATTTAAATAAATATACTTAAATTCCATTTGTATATAAATAAATAGCCTTTGTGGCCATACCTGCAACTCATTTTAATATCTAGGCAGATTATAAAAAATGCATTTATTGCCCAATTAACAACAGTGAATAAATGTCTTCTGGTTTTCCTAATGAGCTTATGGCAACGAGCATTTCACGCGATTATTCTTGAAAATAGCTAAAACTTGCTCCTTCGCAAAATGCTAATCCCAATTAGAAACCGCAGCTCGACTAATTAGCATTGGAAGAGCCTCGGATATCCGACTTGTTTTGTGGTTGTGCTCAGATAGATGAGGATTTTGTTCAGTTTCCTGGAAACGCCCAGGAAAATCTCTGTCATTTTCCGCCACGCCCCCCTGCCACTCCCCGCCGCCCACTTATATGACATGGCATATGCATTGTTTTCAAAATGATTTGCGGTTCTAATTTTTCGCACAGAGGCGGCGGCCGTACTCTGTCGTCGTTTCTTATTTTTGTGGCTTTTGCTGCACAATCCCCCTTCCCCAGCCACGCCCCCATTTCCTATTACTACTCCATTTCCGCCCCCGCAGATGCCAACAAAGTGTACAGCAAGTAAGATGCCACCACAAACCGCATGCAGCACCAGTCGCTCTAAACTATTGCATCTTCTTTTGGATGCAAGGGTACTGCAAAAAATCTATGGAAAATTGAAACCCACTCATATACAAATCTTAAAGATAAAAAAAGTTCGTACTAAAATCTTTAAATCAACCTACTTTTAATGAACTACACAAAATCAATGTTTAGAAAACAGTATTGAAATTTTATTTATGTCTTCTTACAAAATGTTACTAAAAAACAGCAGTTTCTACTTTCATATTTAAATGCTGCAAATATTTTGATACTTTTAGCTATGCGTTTTTCACAGTGCACCCTTGTTCCCTGCTCATTTTGTGTGTTTCTTGAGCTGAGGCGCCAAAACAAAGCAGAAACTTCGGTTGGTTCAACATTTCAACTGCTTGGAAATTTATTCATTCCCATTCCTTCGTCTTTGCCATCTGCATCTCCGTCTTCATTTGTCTGTCGTTTTGTATTTGAGCATTTCGGTATTTGAGTTCCGCCCCCAATGCCACGCCCCTGCTAAATGCCACACAAAAACTTTGTCGAGCAAATAAGTAAATTTTTAATTGAAACTCACATGGAAGCAAGGCGCACACGAAATTTGATAATTCAAATGGCAGAACGTTTAATATTTGATGTGGCTCACACCTCTGGCGCTCCAGAATTTAATTTCATTTGTCGAAATCAATTAAAATGCCTTTCAAAATTTATCACCTGCAAAAACGGACGATTTGCAAAATTGGACTCGGCTCCTTTCGCCCTCGAGTGCCTCAATTACTCTCTGGCCAACTTCAACTGCAGGCGAATGCAAAAGTTTTCGTCCTTTCGTCCTTCTTTCGGCTAAAGTTAACAAATTTTTTTTCTTCTGCCATAGCAAAAGTTGAGGTAAGTTGTGTACTGAAGTCGAAAGTTTTCCCACACATCCGAGGAAAAGCGGGGGGTAAACTGCAGAGGACAAATATTTTTCAACAACTTCTCAATGCTGCCAGTGGGCTTTGAATGCAACTAAATTCAAGCTGCAATCGGAGACTTTTAATAGGGCGTGCACATACAGCTGAGGATAAAATAATAAAGAGTATCTTATGTTATGCAAAATTTCTTTAAAAAAGAAATTCAATTTTGATGTCAAGGTTAAATATATAAATATACATTTAAAGCTCAAAATATGGCCCATATTCATTTCACATACAAAAAATAATGGTAATGCAATGATCATTATTCCATCTTAAATAATTATGGAATAAGGAGTAAAGGAAGGACTTTGAACTAAGTAAAAAAGAAGTGCAATAAACACCAAACAACAACCAGTAAAAATGTTTTCGGAAATAGCATTGACATTATTTACAAAAATGTGTAGAAAACATTGTGCCACCACTATTATTGCAACCACACCTGTAGGGGAAAAGGGAAAAGCGAAAAAGGAAGAGTTTGTTTTGCAAATTTGCCCATGTCGTGGTTGCAGTTCTTACTTTAACAATCAACGTTGACTAAATCAGAGCTGGTCTGTTGATGCTGCAGCTGCAGTTGCAGTTGTTGCTGCTGCTGTTGCGATGTTGCTGCTGTTGTGATGTTGCTGCTGTTGTGATGTTGCTGCTGTGATGCTCTGTTGTTGCTGCTGATTTATCTGGCGAGTGCGCCAAACGCATGTAAACAAGCGTCGGGGCAGGCATGTGTTTTTCCAGTCGACCCGCTGGAAAACCCCTTCGGAAAACCCCCCGGAAAACCCCCCGGAAAAACCACCCGCACGCCATAATGCGCTGCACAATTTGGCAACGAGGTCCTCTGATGTTGCCCACATAAGTAGGCAATGGATTTTTCCCTACTGAAGCTCTCTGCCGATTGGGAATGTTTTGCGCACAGTTAAAAACTAGGTCCAACAAACTGGTACTTGTTTGTGGCAGGACCAATTAAATAAAATTGGAAAACAAATTAATGAATTGAAAATAAGTTTTTAATAAAAAACAGAGCTTGTGCTCTACTTTTAAAAGTATTAAACAGAACTAGTTGCAATTCTATAGCACAAATATTTTTAATATTTTTGTGCTTAGTTTCTATGAGACATAGTGAAAGATAAGTTTTGTACAAGCCAAACCAAAGAAAGTGAGTGTCTTTTTCTGTATTACCCTTGTTTTTCGCCATGTATATATGATTGTGTGTTAGTGTTGGCCCTTCTCTAATGGCCACAAATTAAAGACTTCGGACAAAAGCTTAACTTTCATTAATCGCGGCAAATGTCAGCGCACAGATTTTCCCGCCAAAAGAGATGGGAAAACATAGAACCAGAGAAAGGGGAGAAAGCAGGGAAGAGGCGAGGGGGTGAGGGGGCCGCAAACGAGATGGGGAGGCAATGCAGCTACAACAAACTATCAAAATAAATAACAGAACGTGACGGCAACGTAACGTGCCACATTCTCCAACCGCCCCTCCCCTGCCACGCCCCCGCAAAGCCCCCCCTCTTGTGCCACAACCCCCCTCTTTCGACCACCACACAATTGCCACACAAACGAAACTTTTCAGCCACGAAAATTGCACATAAAACTTAATTAGTTTTTTCTCTCTCTGTTTGGCGAGTGTGTGTATGTTTCGTGCTGTTTGGTCATTTTTATCATTTGCACTTAATTAATTAAGTTGTAGCATTTTTATTGCCCCACAACAATAACAAGAACAACAACTATATTATACACATGTTAAAGAATAGTTGTTGTTAGAATACAAAATGAAAGAGCCAATCAAGAAAATACCCGCAAAAAATATTTGGCCAAAAGAAATTTCATTAAGATTTCGCCAGTAATTACGAATGAAACTTGAAAAATCTTTCAAAGTTTTCGTTAAAACTTGGCAATTTACAAAGTGAGTAAGCTAAAATCTTCCAGCCTTAATTTTCTAATGCAAATCTCCAAAAAAAAAAGTCAATATGTTTTTAAAGAATTTTTTTGTTTTGTGATTATGTAACTCAAACAAGAAGTGAATGGAGTGAAAATGAAAACACTTGCAGGTCTTGATGCTTGATTATGAAAACGTAATTGGATTTGCACAAGCAGGGCGCGCATAAATATATAATACGATATATCGCGGCAAGTAAGTGCCAATAGATATAAAAAATTGATCAACTGCGGGGGCGCCATCTACCGGGCGTTTATGCGAAGCTGCCGTAAGCCGTAAGTCGTAAGCCGTAAAAATTAATAGCCAGACGATGGGAATGCGAATGGAAATGGGAGTGGGAATGGGAACGGGAACGGGGCACGGGAATGGGAATGGTGGATGGCTGTTTTCGACCTGGTCGTCGACTTCAAGTACGTGTAATATCAATAAAATTAAGCCGAGACAAGGGGCCCAAAGCCAGACGACAGTGGAGGGATGGCGGGATGGCGAACTGGAGAGCCTTGCGTGCAATCATAAAAACGCGACAGTGCCAAACAATAAGCTGAAAGCCTCTTACATGTATTTTTATGCCCCACCCACCACTCGCCACCCACCACCCACCATACACCACCCAGTGACCCACCCAAGCCAAAACCCAACCACCGCGATGACGACGCCGCCGTGTCGCTTCTAATGAGACTTGAAAAGTCAACGACATCCGCTACGGAACGAGCCCCGTGCACCAGTGATGGGTTAAGGGGGAACGGGGGGGGCAGAGGCAGCATGGGGTTAAGGACGGGGAGGGAGTGGGGGTGGTGGCATGTGGGGCACCGAGAGCGAAAGGCTTCTAAATGCGGCGCGTCATTGTTTTGCCCTGAAGGAGCTGCCAGCTGAAATCCTGGACCCGAAGTCCTGGTCCTCGATCTGCCACCCATTCGCTGCCTTTGCGTGGGAGCACAGTGGTGCACATTTAATTAACTATCCCCTTAAATGTATCTTTTTATTTGTTTACAATTTTATTTGATTAAAAATCCAGTGAAACACCAAACGACAGGGCTACAAATCTCATCATTTGATTTTATTTTATATTTATTCCAATTCCTAAAAAGGCATTTTTGTTTTGATAAATCAGTTGAGTTGGCTTTAGATATATCAACATGCTTGTTTAACCATCCCTAGTTGGGCTTATTAAAATCCATACTTTATATTCCAATAAGAAAAACATTTTTATTTCGTGACATTACATTTTGCATTTTTTTACAAATGTTATTAACTTTAGTGGCATTACAAATAATTAAGTGTTCGTGCAGATAAATTTAAAAACTGATGATTTTACTTTGAAGGCGATCTATCTAGTGCCTCAGGCGATTATCAAATAAAATAAGCTTGCAATTTGGATACATGATGTAGGTGTGCACAAAATAACCATTCAATAAATAGAAACGCAGATGACGATGAGAAATCAAACGGCCGACAGAAGTGAATCGTAGATTTAACTAGTGGCCTGTTGGGGACCTGGGAATCCGAATCCCGGTGGAGGATTAACATCACCGGATCCAGAGCCAGATCCAGATGAAGATGCAGATGCAGATGCCGTTGCCGATGCATATGCAGATGCCTCGGGTGATCCCGGTTCGGGCTGTGGTGAGGGATTGCGGAACTGCTCCGCGGAGATGCGGGTGAACAGGATGCCCACGCCCTCGATCATCGAGAGCAGGACGCCGCCCATGATCGCACTGCCGGCCATGGCGGCCACCCCGTTCCGCGATGACAGGATGCCCCCTGCTATAGCCCCACTCATGATCGAGTTCCAGGGGTCCTCCTTCTTGCGCAGATGCACCAGTGTGCAGTCCACAATGCTGAACACACAGCCCCACGAGGCGAAACTGCCGCCGATCGTCGGCGATCTGGCCTTCACGGCTGCCAATCCGCCGGCAAATCGGCGTCCAAAGCCCTGCGGCGCATTCCTGAATCCCTTGAGTCCTTGGAAGAGACCGCCTCCGAAGCAGCCCATGGTGAAGGCGCCGCCACAATCGTCGACGATGCGAAAAGGACAGGGTTCGCGCGAATACTCCTCCATTTCTATATAATCTGGCCGAAATTGAAAACTGAAAACTCAAAACTGATTTTTTCGCGTTCGTTCTACGCTCGACTTATCACAGGTTCGATCGGGTTTTGAAATAAATGTGAAATGAAATGTACGGCAGCACGATGGAGATATTCTAGACGCAGCCTACTAATTGAACAAAGCTAAAATTATTAATAAATTAAGGTACGCTACAGTTGCACTACTTTTAAATACTTTACCCATTTGAAAGCCATAAAAATACTGAACCGAATTTATCTAAACAGTTTTAAGCACAACGACCTCCTTACTTTTGCTCGATAAAAGATTTCATATTTAATTTCCAAGAAATAAATAAAAGAGTGCACTTAACAAGCTCTTCAAAAGAGGATAGTATTGTGTAGTCTACAAAGAGCTTTTATAATAGAGCAATAATTAGTAGTATAACCTCTAATAATAAATTTCCTTTTCGATCCCCGAAAGGAAAAGGACTTATGGCCTTATAAAAATGCAATCTCCCATGGGAGAAAGGCAATCCATTTTGCATAGACCACCGACCAGTGTGGGCCGCTGCCTTCGTTGTTGTTGTTGCTGGCTGAAGTGCTGCTTAAATATGAAAAACTAACTCGCAGCTGCTTTTCACATTTTCCTGCACTTGACACTAAATTCACTTTGGCCAAGTGGGTGCTTGGTGCACTTGGAGCGCACTTTCGCTTGACAACAAACCCACCGGCAGCCTCGCATCGCATCGCATCGCATCCACAGCCGCATTCACATTCAACTCCACATCTAGATACACATGCACATCCACATCCACATCCACGTGGCAATCCAGACGGGCAGGTGCGCAACGTACGTGGCACCACATAACGTACGTATATTTATTTTATTACTTAAATAAATTACAAAACGGTAGTCGGTTAACCAGAGCCAAAGCCAAAGCCAAAGCCGAAGCCAAATGGCCACCCATCCGCCGCCTGCATAGTTGAGGAGCTTAGCGCATAATATATTGTTGCAGTGCAGCAGCAACATTCCGGCCAACAAAGGCAACAAACTGTTTGCCATCTCCAGCTCCTCCTCCTCCTCCTCCTCCTCCGGTTAACTTTCGACTGCCAAGTGCAGGGCTTTCCCAGCCAAGTGCGAGTGTGCGAGTGTGCGAGTGTGGGTGTGTGGCCACGTGAAGTGCGAGGCGGCACAGGACAGGTCAGGACGGGACATAACAGGTGAATCTACAGCGGAAACGCAGCGCATTTCGAGTGCCGCCCCCGAATGCGAAACTTTTCCAGTTCGACCAACTTTTCGGGCTGGAAATCCGCTTGCCGTCAGTCAACAGCCTCTTAAAAAGTTATGATCGCGTTGATTAAAGATCTCTGTTATTTTTGCGGATTTTTTCACAAAGTTATTTACACTTTCCATTTGTCTACGGCCGCCACACAAATGTGAGCTCATCATTTTCCATGCTACAGTCGCTTTTGGCCAAGTTATAATGTGGCTTGGTGAACCGCCATAACTTTTAGATATATTTTAGAATGCTGACCGAGATCAGCTCTTTAAAAGGATGCTCCTTGTTTTTGTGTATGGTAAAAGTAATTTGGCAATCTATTGTTAAGACTTGGGAATCTCCATGTACAAGACTTACCACTTTACCATTTTTCGCCCAGTTAAACCCAAAGGCAAATAAAAACTCTCATAAACTGGCTTTCAATTCTTACGTATATTATCTTGTTCAATTTCAATTTCAGTTATTCCTCTATTTACAAATGAACTCCGAATGGGGGTTTTGTTTTTGTTTTTTTGGGGGGACTCTACGCGCACGGTATTTCAAATTACATGTGACAGCTCTCTCAAATATCGGGTATATATGTATTGTATATATGTATTGTATTTGTATAATTCGTCATTTATAGTTTCGTATAATATGCTTATATATTTCAATATTGTTTCAGTTAATTTCGTTGAAAGTTCTCCATTTGATTACATTGCCAAAGAACGAGAAAAGAAAGTTGTGTATTTGTATTTGTTGGGGGAGACCAAGATGGTTCTCCGCATTAATGGTGGTGCTACTCGTCTAGCCGTAGTAGTTGCCCGGTGCCTGGGTGGGATAGCCCTTGGCGCCGCCATCGGAGGAGCCTCCACCGCCGCCCCTGGATGAGGGATTCTCGCTGAAGAGGCCGCCAAAGTTCTTCGAGCTGAAGATGTCGCCTAGACCGCCGGAACCGCCACCGCCACCTCCTTGCTGGGCACCGCGATTGGAGTTGCCACCGCTGAGCAGGCTGCCCAGGAAGCTGCTGGCACCACCGCCGCCGCCACCTCCGCCTGCATTGGCTCCACCGCCGGATAGCACGGAGCCCAAGAGGCCTCCAAGGATGTTGCTGCCTGATCCACCGCCGCTGCTGCCTCCTGCCGGGGATCCTCCGCCGTAGCCACCACTCGGCTGATAGCCACCAGCGGGCTGGCCACCACCATTTGCTCCTCCAGCTCCGCCGCCCTGCAGTTGCTTGGCTATCTGGCCTGCAATGATACCGGATACCGCTTGACTCACCGCTGGATTCGAGAAGAAGTTGGAGAAGAAGCCGCCCTCCTTGTCCTTGGGTTTTTGGGCACCACCACCACCGTTGTGTTCATAGCCGGGTGCGGGTGGCGTGTAGCCGGGTTGTGGTTGGTAGCCGCCATTTGCTGGGGGCTGGTAGCCACCAGGAGCTTGAGGTTGATAGCCGCCGGGAGCTTGGGGTTGGTAGCCGCCGTTGTAGGGGTTGTAGCCACCGCCGCCGCCGCCGTTGCCACCAGCACCATATGGATTGTAGGGCGCTGCACCACCACCACCACCACCAGAGTTGGGTAGACTGGGGTACAGGGAGTGGCCGCCAGCCGAGAAGCCACCACCGTATCCGCCGTTGCCTCCGTCGTTGGCGCTCGCATCCGGCAGCGGGGCACTCGGAGCGTTCGGGGCATTCGGGGCGTATGCGTTATGGCTCACCTCTGATCGGTCAGCGAAGCAGTGCAAGCAGGGCAAGCAGTTTAGCCGAGGGTTAGCCACAAAAGCGGGGATTTCGAATGGAAAGTAAAAACACAAAAAACAAAGAACACAAATTAGATAACCAAAAAACAAAAAAAAAAATGAGAAAAAAAGGAAAGCAAGAACTGGTTAATGGACAATCAATGAACTTAGCTTACGTTTTCGACAAATAACCGTACCGTTTTAAATCTACACAACTTTGAGTTTGTCCGCCCGGGCTTATTCTAGTTAAGTCTTCGCTGTAGTATATTAAATATATCTCTGTCCACACACATTTATATATATTTAATGCTATGTACAACTCTTTAGTTCGTGGTTTTGATTAGTAAATACTCGAATACTTATTGTTTGCTCGTTAATTTCCTCGCCGCGTCTGAGAGTATGAGTTTGATGTGGAGTATTGTTAGTATTGGGTATCTTATCTCGATAAAATGATTTCAGTTTGGTTAATACTGGTCGTACTGTTTACATGGTTCCGGTTCAGAGATTGCAAATGAAGTTAGCAGTAGTTGATGTCCCAAATCAAGTGTGTGTGTGTGTGTTTGTGTGTGTGTGCAAATACAAACGGACGGAGTAAATATGCTCGACATGAGTGCTTTTTATCCGGAATTTACAGCGACAAAATCTTTATGTTATCTTGGGCAGTTTTGAATTTCTGGGACCTTGTTGTGTATTCGTGTTAGTGTATGTGTTTAAAATGTTTCACAATTTGTATTCTGTTTTAGGTTTTTGGTTTTTGGCTTTCGATTTTGTAGTTGTTTGTTTTTTCTGGCAGTTGGTTAGCAATGTAAATGCCTTTCTGTGACAGTTTTTCAATTTGTTTTCTTCTTTTTTGTTTTTTTTTTGTTTTTTGTCATTTCGGGAGTCTGCAGCACTTACAGCTTAGTTTTTAGTTTTTACTTTAGATTAGTTTTGAACACCTTAGGCTAGCTTAATTCTTTTGTTTTTGTTGTTGTTGTTTTTAAAATGCCATTTAACTTGCTTCAGTGATTATTTATTCATATTCGTAGACGTACAAAAAAAAAAACGAATCTGATTTGACCGCAGCGCACTTGGTGCACTTCCCTCAAATGTAGCTCATTATGCATTTTGATTGACATGCGTATCTTGTATCTACAACACTATCCATCTAAGTATCTGTATCTGTATCTGACTGCAGCAGCAGTTGCAGCATCAGTGGCAGTATCAAAAAGCCCTGAATTCGCCGGCGTCTGACCGCAAATTCGTAACATCAACAAAAATGAAATTAACATCAAAGTTGCCCAACCAGCCATGCATGTGTGTGTGTGTGTGAGTGTGTATCTGTGTGTGTGTGCGTATCTGTGTGTAAATTTGTATCCATGTGTGGTGGTTAGCCTTTGCCCCCTTTGACCAGAGGCTGGCTGTCTAAGCCCGAAATTAAATTCCAATTTAATTGAGCTGCAAAAAAGCCGGCGAGCAGTTCCCCTTGACTGATAGTCGAAAACACACACACATACACACACACAAATGAACTCACTCGCACATTCACACACTCTCGCCGGCGCTCTTCTACACAATATTAAATTGAAATTACGTATTCGCAGTGTTGGCCAGACAGCAAAGGCTGTCGAGAAAAAAGGCAAAAAACACGTGAAGCGAGGAGTAGCAAAGCCTTGTACGTTATAGTGTAATTAAAACACCACCCTTAAATTGTTGTGGAGAACTACGAAAAGTAATCATTTCTTTGTTCTCTGATAGAACTGCAAAAAAAGCACGGTACACAATTGATGAAGCAAATGCAGTTATTCAAATAGTCAAGAAATATTTGAATAGCTCTGATATTGTGTTAAAAAGATACTTGGAATTAAAAGTTCTCTAGAAATCTCTCAGAATATAAAATAAAAATTATTAAGTACTTGAAAATACACATACGCCGTATAAGCCATAAGCCCTATAAATTGCGTATACGAAGTGTTGGCCAGTCATTAAAAGCTGTAAAGTGAGTTACAATTTGTTAACAATTTATATTAACAACTTGGAAATGGACTTTTCATAAAAAATGTAGACTTCTTAAGCTCCAAAGCTTAAGGTTATTCACAATATAATATTTTTAAACAAGTACTTGTGTTTGTGACTTCATATTTTGTAAACCATCTAAACTTGCAGAAAAAAAACTAAAGTTATGAATTGCAGGCTAGCTGGCTAACTTTAAAATCTTACAGTTTTGAATTGCTTTGTCAACTGCCGCTTTTACTGCTTTTACATTTTTCTTAAGCCTACGCAAAATAAAAATATTTGAAAAAAATAGAAAATAATTCAGGAGAATAAGGGAAATAAAAAAAAACAAAAAATGAGTGTACAACCTTCAGGCGAGCTCCCATTTTCACCTAATATTTAGTCTTAAGGTGCTTTCAATCCTCCTTCTCTTTCTTTATTTATTACTTGAATCTATGGTCTTTAGTTTTTTTTGATTTTTCATCACCCTTTAATGAGGATCTTATATATTTAGTACATATATAATTTGGATTTTGGATTTTTTCTCAAATGAAAGCACCTGCTAGGTTTCAGAATCTCCAAATGTTTGATTTTTAGTTAGTAAAGTGTGGGTTCAGTGAAAATGGGTTCATTCCGTGATGGTGTTGCCTCGAACCTATAACATTCAATGGGATAATTTGCCGGGGATCGTCGTGTTGCTGCTGCCTCAGCTTATTACGTGCGTGGCAGGAGGGTCAGGAGGAGGCACGCGACCAGGATCAGCGGCTTCCCGATCCCGATCCCGCCCAGACTGCCGGCTGCCGAGGGATGCGCCTGGGTGCGCCGATTGTAGGGATTCTGTTGATTCTGGTTCTGATACTGCGGCGGCGGCTTGTTGTACATGTTCGCGTTGGAGTGCTGGCTCTGATAGCCCTGGAAGTTGCTGCCGTAGGGCGCCAGGCCGCCGCCGCCGCCGCCAAGGATGCCCAGCGTGGAGCTGGGCAGTCCCACGCCGCCGCCGACGCCGCCATTACCGCCGACGCCACCGCCGCCGCCGCCGCCAATGCCGCCGGGCGGACCGCCGGTGCCGGTCGGACCGCCGCCGCCATAGAATGGCAACTGGCCGAAGACGAAGGGCGGATTGTACGGGTTCACCGGCTGCAGGCCGTGCATGGGATAGCCCGGATTGAGGACGCTGCCTGGATGGTTGGGTTGGGGGAACTGCTGGAACGAGGGCGCCGACGTGGGCGAGTTGTACGGGAAGATGGGCATGTTGGGTATGACGGGCATGTGGTGCTTGGCCCCGAATACGTAGTGCGGATCGATGACGCCCGTTGAGGAGGCGCCCGCCGCCCCCGCATTGCCGCCCTTGTCGCGATCCCCATTTCCGGCGTTACCATTTCCGTTTCCATTCCCATTTCCGTTTCCGCCATCGCCGCCGCCGCCGCCGCCACCATCGCCGCCCTGCTGATGGTTGTAGGTGTAGGTGTTAAGCGTGGGGTTCGATGAGGCGGGTGCGAAGATGTTGTTCTCGGGTCCTTGGCCCAGACTCGATCCTGTTAGTGGTTAGTCGTTCGATGGGCACGCAGGGGGTGAGGGGGGGGAAGAGAGCGGGTGTTCTTGTTAGCGTTAGTTTTTCTTGCAGCCATGTTCCCGCCCAGCCTGCCTTCTCTCCCCAGCTCCCTCTCCGATCAGCACAGAGAGAAATATCTTTGTCTTTAGGGCACTTTAAAGAATACTCAACAGCAGCCAAACCTCTGCCAATAACAGCTTGAAAAGTTGTAATTGTAGGCTATTATTTGGTTTTATCTTTATCTAAACAATTTTATAGACACACTAAAAAGATGTCAAATTCGAATGGGAACTTAACTTTGACTTTTAAAATTTCTGAAATTGATATTTGAGATTTGTTTATTTCATAATTAAATGTAACGAACTGTAATATTCAGGAGTAAACGTTAAATCTTTTAAATCTTGTTTGGTAAAGAAGTTAGCTTGTATCTTTATAAGCACCCAAAATATTTTTTTTAAGTTTCCAGAAATTTATTTATAACAAAGCTGTAAATTGCCAGTAGTTTGACTGTTTATTGAGCGCATAGAAAAGAATGTGTTTACCATACAAACTGAAGATTGAAAATGGAATTTTTAATGTTTTGGTTGCACTTGGTGTCGGAATCTTGCAAAATCTTTAAATAGTGATATTCCAATTGAGTTTCAGTATAATTTTACATTTAATATCTGTATGGCTTTAATATAAGTGATATTTATTTGTGGCATTGATATACAAAAATCGAGCTGGCATTGCGTTGCCTTTTTCTCTCTGTGCTGTGACTTCCTAAAAACATGCAGAAGTGGGCGGCAGAGAGGGGGAGTGGCAGGGGGTGGGTGGGTTGTTTTGGTTAGCGGTCGAATATTAGGAAGCCTTGAGCGAATGAGGCGATGAATGAGCGAGCGAGCGAGTGATTGATTGATTGAGTGTTAGATTGATTGAGTCAGCAGAAGCTCTTAGTGTGTTGGTGTGGGTGTGCAGGTGTGTGTGTGTGTGTATGTGTGTTAGATCGCCATACAACATATTACATTCGGTTATATTGCATACATGTATATAGATATATATAGATGAAAACGATCACAAAACTAAATAAATACTTAAGGCCAAACATAAAAAAAACACAAAAAGAAATTCGAGAATTTGGAGAAGTAGTTATATCCTTGCAGAGTTTTCTGGATCATTTAAATTATTTAATTGAATTTATATATTTCTTTCACATTCATTCTAATGGAACTGCTTTTTTAATTACTTCTTGCGACTGGACTTTTTTTCAGTTTCATATTATAAATATGTTATTTTTGTTTTTAACCAAAAATAAAGTATAATATATACTTAAATGTTTTTACCAGACCAGACCAGCAAAAAACGAAGTTAAGATTAATATTAAATAAAATTAAATTTTGATTCTATAAAAGTCTCTGAAACCTGTTAAAATTGAATATTTGGTGAAATTCGGAGGACATCCTTTCCGTTAAGTTATAACGTTTTCTAGACTCTGCATGGATATTGTAGTCTTCGGCGGCCGAAGTCAGCTTTGTTGCCCCCATAAATCCCTGTCTTTAGCCACAATTGGTTTGGAATTCATAAGTCGTTTTGAGGAACCAAAAAAGAAGTGGCCGCCGATAGCCAATCGCCAATCGCCAATCGCCGGTCGCCAAAGCCCGAAACACGATGCCAATCGCCTGGACAACTCCCCCAGGGAAGCGCACAATGAGTAATCAAGTGGGGGATTCCAAGCTAAATACCTGACGGATTGGCCGAGGGAGCGGCCAAGTTGGGGCTGCTGTTCGAGGCGGACGATCCTCCGCCGGAGCGGCGCTTGCAGGTGGGATAGTTGCCGCACTCCTTGCCATCCCGCTGGTTGTAGCTGCACGAGTCGCTGGTGATGACGCACTCCTCGGTGGGCAGGCAGCCAATGTCCCCGCATCCACGGCCGTACTCTTCGCCCGCGGGAAATGCGGTTTAGGGTTCAAGGTTCAAGGTTCAGGGTTCAAGGTTCACGGTTCAAGGATTGCGGGTTTCGGTGTGTGTGTGTGTTTGTGGAGTGGACGGGGGTCAAAATCATACGGAAAAAAAAGGAAAAACAAATTATAAGCCTGCTCAAAATCGGGGTTATCTCCACTGGCTTCAATATGTCAATGATGGGGGGGTGGGGGTTGATGAAGGCATGAAACGTTCACCACCGATCGCACGGATCGGTGTTCATCTCGGGGAATTACTGATTACACAATACAACAAACAAACAACGGGGGCGGTGGCTTTCCAGGGGAGATGGTTTGGGGTGGTATGGTTTCCCCGAAAGCCCCCGCCGCCCGGAATATCACGTATACGTACTGGAGTAGGCGTCCACGTTGTAGCCGCAGCTGGCGAGGACCGCCAAAGTCAGCAAAGGCAGTGCCAGCATCCTGATGCTCGATGTCGATGTCGGTGCCACGCCCTTGGATCAAAAGTTGCTGCAAAGTATAGGAACAAAATACATATTTTGAGTTGGCAAAATAAAGTTTAACACAAGAGTTAGAATAAGTTTGCTATTCACAGTTATATCTGCAAAAATACGCATTCGCTTGAAATAACCAATCAAAACTGCATGGCAAGTTTACAATGCAATTTGATATTCTGTTTTGATTTCATTGCTTTATGGTTTTGAAAAATAATATCTTATGTATACTTTTAGCACACCAATTTAAATTCAACTCACTCATGGGTAATATATATCTAGAGCGTACAGTCTGAATGCAAGCAGTAACTTTGACTAAAAATACTTGATTTTAAAGGTATAATAATATATTCAAAAATTGCCTTGCAACTCTGAGACTTTCTTATCCAAAAGCATCTTTATCTAGATCTACATTTTTCATTATTTTTTTTCTGGCCACCGAGACAGGCCTTACAATTTTGAAACGCACTGTGGCGAGACAGCTGCCTGATTATTATTTATATGTTGCAGCAGAGCCAGGGGGCTGTACCCTTTTGGCAAGCCAAGTTTATTTATCACATTGACAGCTGGCTCAAGTTCATTGCGGTCCCGATGCGTCACAGAGAGAAATGGCCAAGTTGGGTAAGAGAAATGGGAAAGTGGGGAAATGGAGAAAGGCAGAGACCAAATGGCGTCGCATTTGTTTGGCAGAAAAAGTCGAAACACGAATCCCCGCATGTGATCAAAGGCGGCTGTGGGAAAACCTTTATCCCCACGAGCAATCCAACTTCATCGCGTTGAAGTCTCAGCTGTAAGCTCAGCAAATCCAAAAAAACAACGTAGGTATCCCACATAAAATAATATTATAGAAGAGTATGTATAAATAAGTAATTTGATTGAGGAACAAACCATTCAGTACGAAATATTGGTAAAAAAAAAAGTCGCCTAAGGTACCATAATTTTTAACAGCTTTAAACAGCAAACAAAAAAACATTTTAAGACATTTTTAAATTTATGGGAACTTATCACCTATAAATAATATAAATCATTCAACTACACACCATAAAATTCATGAGAAAGCGGGGAATTTCAAAATATGTTCGCCTTTCATGTCATCCTTCAAGAGCTCAGAAAATAGTCAACTCATTCCAGTCAGCCCACCTGGAGCAGTCACTCCATCACAGTCAGTCGCTGCCCTGCCACTTTTCACCTCCCGTGGCCCTTAATCAATTGCCCTCCAGTGGGTAAAAATAAATGAAAAACAGCAGCAGCAAGTCGGGAATATTTGCCGCGTTTCAATATCAAACAATTTCAAGAACTTTTTCATAATTTTCCATTCTTGGCCGCCGTCCACTCGCAACATTTCCATATTCAAATTTCGCAAATGACTTGGCAACTAATTCGGTAGACTCGAGCGGAAAATGTTGCTTGGCCGTGGAGGAAATGGATTTAACGTTCGCTCATTTTGATTAATTTCGAATTCCGTTCAAAGATTTTTGTCATTTTTTGCATGAAATGGAAATTTTTAGGGAATGACAACGGCAAATGAAAACGCATAAATTAGTAGTCTGTCTATGATTTGTCCTTTGCCTCGTGTTTTTTTCCCATTTTCCACACCCACGGAGAGATGCATGAATAGGCTCAGGAACAAGGACAAAAAACACTGACAAATCAGTGGTGTGTTGTTTCCATAATGTAATACCACATATGGAATAGGTAAATGTGCCATTAACAAAGCGAGCGCATTCAAATCCGAAGATTGCCAAAAGGAACTCTTTCCTTTAAAATGGAATCTTAATTTTTTTTGGACTTAAGGTATCTCTATTATATACCACGTTTCCAGTTTTCAGTTAAGATTCCTCAATCATCTCGGATTTAAAGTACATTTTGCAAGAGCTTTAAAAAAAAATGAAATCATTGCCTACTTTTAAGGGATTGAATAGTGCTGTGGGTAAGCAGTTCATTCAACTACCGGAAGAAGCAGTTCAGCAAGCTGTGCTTCCTCTTGGTCTTAATTGAGTAAAGTAGTTCTGAAGTCCATTTAGTGGGTTAACAAAAAGCTATAAGTTGTTATTCAAATAAATAAAATCTTAAAAATGTACTTAAATTCTAAAGTATGCCATCAAATTTACTTTCTTAATTGTTTTTATCTACCCAGGGTAGCTAAACAGCCCAATATCTTGGTTTTAAAGAGCTTGCGGCTGGCTGCCATCATTTCAGCTGTCTTGCCCGCAACTCGACTCAACCACTGTCCGTCCGGCTGTCCGATTGTCCGCTTGTCCGTCCGTCCGTCCGTCCGCCTGTCCCTGTACATTTGTCTGTGCGGGCCACGTCCCGGTCGACGGAAGCCAAAAGTGGAAATGCATGATAAATGACACAAGGTTTGCCTCTCTTTTTTTGCCACTGCTATTTTTTGTGTGTGTTGTTTCTTTTTTTCGGCAGCAGCGGGGGGCGACCGGGCGGGGGCGTGGGTGGACCTTGTACAACAACATGAAGAACGAGAGCGGCAACAACAATTTTTATTTCAAGACACAACACACACAGAAACACAAAACAACGATTCTAGGACAGCGAGAAAGTGAGCAAAAGGGGGGTCGCAACACAAAAATTGTGAAACGATGACGTCGTAAATGTTTTGTTGCAACATTTTTCTGTTGTAAGCGAAAGAAAAAAAAATATAAAATAAAAACAAAACAAAGCGAAACGAAGCCAAAAAAGGAGCAACAGAGACAGTTAGATACGGGGTGCAAAGCTGGAGAAAAATGAAGTAAAAACAGCAAAGCAAACTGTCCGCGAAACGGAAGCGCAAATAAAACAACTGCAAGGGGTGCCCAGCCAAGCGGTCAGTGGCGTCGGGAGGGGGCAGGGTGGAGTGGGCAAGCGGATGAAGTCCAAAAGCAAAAAAAACAATCTGAATAAAACCACGGTGATTCCCACTGTGCGCAGCCTTGTAAAGTACTTTTTCAAATAAAACTAACAGTCGTCATAATCAAAAAAGTTATTTTTCCAAAAACTAACATATATAAACCAGCATTATTTATAAAATTTTGTACACTAAAATATAATTTAGTTTCTATATTAACTGCTTACAAAATTAATTATCTTTAGAATTCAAAGAAAGGTTCGAGCCTAACAATAAAAAATATACAGCTTTATTCAGACCCATAATTATTGTCTACTACAACAAAAATATTATATAAATTTTAATAAGCACAAAGATAAAACATTGCTTTAATATATTGATATTGAAATTCTTGTCAGACTAGAAGTTTATATTATGCCACGATTACTTATATTATGATGCGTTAACTTAAATATTTAAACAACTTACTAAATTTAAACAACACTGCTTGCTAAATACCTACAGAGTGCTTAATACTATTAAGTTTTGTAGCAAACTGAACTCCGCCAGTGTGGCCAAGTGAAGCTATAAATCCAGACCCCACCCATTTGACCCACCGGCAACAGGAAGGAGAACAAGCCACACCAACGAGCACCGCCCGAGGGAAAGCGGAAAAGCGAGGAAAATGGGGAAAAGCGGAGGGAAAAACAGCAGCAGCAGCAGCAGCGCCGCTTCAACGCTTGGGTTCGCAAGGCATAAACCGAAAATTCACACTTGGTTACTTCCTTCATGACTTTGGATATTATTGTGGTTTATGTTAGTGCTGTCACTTGCCCGCCGGCCTGCCACGCCCCCCGTGCCCCGCTGCCGCCTCCTTAACCCTCCACTGCCGCGTGATGTATGACTCCATGAAATGCGATATATTCATGTTAAATTATACTTTTTTTTTCTTTTTTTTGCAACAAAAAACGAACAGTCGAGGACGAAAAGGACCAAAAAGGCGACATCAGAGAGCGAGAGTCGCTGAACAAGTTTAAAACAACAAAAGTGCAAAGTTTGGCGCCAGTTTGAAATTGCAATTGCAATTGAACAAACAATTAAAACTTTTAAATATTGTGACAGCATTTTCACAGTTAATTGCACAGGCCAACAAGCAGCTGCTGCCTCCGCCCAGTTCCCCAGATTCCCCAGTTTCCCCACTTCTTCACTTCTCGCCAACCCACCGCACATTCGTTCCTTCATTCATTACTTCCAATTCATTTCAAAAACTTGTCCCAGTCCCTGGGAAAATCCACAGTTTGCCCTTTTGGCCTGCCAAAATAGGTGCAAAAAAAGTTGCTCTCTTTTTATCTGCAGTTGTTGCAGCGGCCAACTGACAAACTGACAACCATTTGTCATTAGCCAGGAGGCGTGGGGGCGTGGCCAGCCATATGCTTTTACACTCGGATAAAAACAAAGCCTTGAAATACTTTTCTTTTGATTTCGTAGGATATGAAATCATTAAATGAAAAACGTTTCCAAAAGGCAAACATCTGGAGAAGAAAGAGTTCTCCTCAGATTGGTAATCTGGAATTTTTCAAAGTGAATTCCGAGAACCTACATTTATTCAACTCTAAGTGTAGAATTTAAAAATATATGTATGTATATCTAGCCAACGAGGGTGACTTTAATTAGCGAATGTCGCGGGTTTGCTGATTTTTCAAATTTATTTCGGTTCGGCTGGCGCATTTCTGGCTTATTAAATTCCGTCAGCTAACTACAAAAAGTGGCAAAGCGCACAAAAAAAAAAAATCGAAAAATGGGAGGGCGAAAAACGTCAAAAAAGGTGGCCTATTCCGACTCGTCCCCTGGAAAAAATGTCAATTTGTGGCCAGAACAGGCTTCGGGCCAGCAACAAATCACAAAAAGGCAGGCAACACAAATAAAAAAATGCGACAAAAAAAAAAAACGTACCGGAAGAAGGAAAATCTTTGTAAGGCAGTTAATTAAAAACTTCACATAAAGAGCCAAGGGTGGGCGGGCATGGTTCGATGGGGGCGTGGCATGTGTGCTAGGAAAAGCGGGACAAAAGAAAAGCTGCCAAAGAGTTTCCGACTGCAGCCATAATTAAAAAAGTCTGGAACCGAAATTAAAACCCATATTGAGAGCGGTTCAATGGGGCGTATGCGTGATTTGGGCTCGACATCGCTTACGCATTC